GAGCATCATCTCATCTAATGAGAAAGGCATTACAAGGGGTTGAACAAAAAAGGAAGTTTTTTTTCTTTTCAAGTATTTATTTATTGGCTTCATTGCATGTTAGTTGCAGCATGTAGGATCTTTTTTGTGTCATGCATGATCTTTGCAGTACAGACTCTAGTTGGGGCATGTGGGCTTTGTAGTTGCAGCCAGCAGGCTTAGTTGCTGTGACATGGGGGTTCTTAGCTTCCTGACCAGGGACTGGGCCCAGGTCCCCTGCACTGTGAGGTGAATTCTCAATCATGGGACCACCAATGAAGTATCAGGAAGGTTTTTATAGGAAAAAGGATGCGGTAAGGCAGCTATTAGGAAAGAAAAGTAAGGATTATTTTTAGGCCAGAAAATGTTTCTGGGAGGAAGAAAATGGCAAGGGTTTTATCATGCAGATTACCTCTTCTTCCTCTGGGAGAATGAAGAAGGGCTGTGTGACAGATTACTTCATTCTTGCTGACAACAAAGTTCCACATTGGTTGATTAAGATTACATTTGTGGTGAAGGTTGTAACTGCAGTTAGGTTAGGTATTAAATCTAGGTTTGGTATCATGGGCTTTAGCACAAGGACTGCCATTTTGAGTCTGTATTTTTTCTCTTTAACATCCAGGGAACTGAGAAAATCTTACAAGCCATGCTGTAAGAAAGAATTCTGCTCACATCTACAGTTTCTCTCTATTGCATATCTGGTATATTATTGCCATTTTGAGTTTTTTTACATTTTATAGTCATTATCATTTATTAAGGAGATTAATTTTATTAATTTATTAAGCTTCATCTAACCTATGACATATACTTGAGACAAACCTGAAATGCAAACAAAACCATAATGACATATCACCTTACACCTTGTTAGAATGGCTAGCATTTGGAAGGCAAGAAATACAAGTGTTGGTGAGAATGTAGAGAAAAGGGAAATTTTGTGCATGTTAGTGCAGTTTTTTTTTTTAATGTACTTAAGTCTTTTGTTAACTGGGAATAGTACAGAAGGAATTTTTCTTAAAATTTATATTTCCAATCCATCATAATGTCTGACAGGTATAATGTTCATACTTAAAGTAATTTAATTGAAATAATATGTTTAAATATTCTTTTTTTTAGGTCTAAATATTCTGATGCTTGATCAATGTGATATGTATTTCTAGTTAATATATCTACTATGCAGACATATTTGTCTTTCTTTTCATTTTTTTTTTCCATTTATTTTCATTAGTTGGAGGCTAATCACCTTACAACATTTCAGTGGTTTTTGTCATACCTTGAAATGAATTAGCCATGGATTTACATGTATTCCCCATCCCGGTCCCCCCTCCCACCTCCCTCTCCACCCGATCCCTCTGGGTCTTCCCAGTGCACCAGGCCCGAGCACTTGTCTCATGCACCCAACCTGGGCTGGTGATCTGTTTCACCCTAGATAATATACATGTTTCGATGCTGTTCTCTTGAAACATCCCACCCTCGCCTTCTCCCACAGAGTCCACAAGTCTCTTCTATACATCTGAGTCTCTTTTTCTGTTTTGCATATAAGGTTATCGTTACCATCATTCTTTTCAAAATCAAAACTCTAGGCATGCTTGAAAATTTATGGCAGTCCATCATTTTGTGTATTTATATAATAACAGATTACATAAACTAAGTTTCACATGGGTGTTTGGATTCAATGGTGTTGAAAGATCATTGATTTAATGATTTTCTTTTCTGGACTAATTTCAGGTAGAGGTACTTGATTAATGAATGATGTTAATGGAGGACTATTTTTTAGAAATATTAATATATCCTCTTAAAAATGATATTATTCTTTAAGTTATTATTTTTTTGTTGAGATATAATTGACATATAACACTGTATTAGTTTTGCAACCTAAAAGTTAGCTAACTTATTATGGTAATCCTATTACCATATTATCTATTACCGTAATAAGTTAGTTAACTTTTTATCACCAGATACAGCTACAAATTTTTTTTCCTTGTGATGGGAATATTTAAGATTTACCCTCTGGGCAACTCTCAAATATATAGTACACTGTATAGCATTGTTAACTATAGTCACTATGCTGTCCATTATACTGCAGAACTTATAACAGGATGTTTGCACTTTCTGACCACGTTTACCTGTTTTGCCAGTCTCCTGTCATCCTTTTCCCCCTGTGCCCAGCCTTTGGCAACCACTAATCTGTTTTCTGTATCTATATGTTCAGTTTTTTTAGATTCTACATGTAAGTGAAGTCATACAGTATCTTTCTCTGCCTGATTTATTTCTCCTAGCATAATGCCTTCAAGTTCCATCTGTTGTTTTTTTTTGCAAGTGGCAGAATCTTCTTTTTTAATGGCTAAATAATATTCCATTGTGTATACACATACCCCCTCCCCCATTTTCTTTATATATTATATTTATTTGCTGAGGCAAAAACAGTGGTTCCTAAATGTTAACCATATAATATTCAAACACATGAGGTGTTTTCTTATAGTGCCTTTCACACAGTAAGCATTTCATACATATTTTCTTATTGATTGTTTAATCTGGTTTCTGTTTACCAATACACTTTTGATCTACTTAAAGGCTATTTACTTGTACCCTTCATTCTAAAAACCATTCATGCTGGTTTTTAGCCTCCATACTTTATCACACCATTTTCACTTGAATGTTTTCTGCTATATTCAGATATTACAGAATTTTTAGAGTTTAACTCTAGTGCCATCTACTTCATAAATATATTTCCATTTCCTCCTAATCAGACTTATCCATTACTTTCCTGAGAGCCTTTGTACTTACCATCTGTGTTAAGCAGTTTAACACTTAAACTTAAGTAATTTGGGTGTAGATATCCTCTAATTATATTATGTAATGTTGTTTTCTCAAACAGATAAGATGGTGTCATTTTTGCTTATATGCATAATTCTCCACTTTAATTTATAATACAGGGATCAGGAAGCACAAAATCAATTCTTTCAGATTCATCATTTGTTTATCTTAAGAAGTTTTCTGTCTTCAAGTGAGAGCCTGGTATCCAGCACTGTCCTATTTTGGAAAACTCCCCACTCCCTACACACCAGGGATATCCACTATTGTTTGTTTTATGCTGAGATGAAGATAGTGAAGCTAAATTTAGTAAATCAGTGAAAGAAGTGACAGGAAAATAGGGAGCTCATTATAATATCCATTTAAGATTTAAGAAAACTAAGACTTAGAAACATTAATTTTTTTCTCAAGGTAATTTTGAGATTAGGTGTATGTAGTCTTCTGAGTCCTAGTCTAATGTTTGTATCATACATTTTTTCCTCCAATTAACCTTTCATATTACTTCAAAAATATTGACACTGTGCTAGAAGAGCACTTAAGTTAGATGACTAGAGCATATGTGGTAAATTCTTGTAAGTATTGATGTGAGACTTGGTTAGGAAAGTAACCCTTGTTCAAATTTAATTACATTTTCTTATTATTAATGTTAATTACACTGATCAGTTACATTTTCAAGGGACATATTAGTATACAAATGTGAGGTCAGGCTTACTAAATTATAAAAATTCTGGTTAGTTTATAGAAACTCAGTGTACCTAAAGGATTTATTGTAATTTAATGTAAATTCCAAGTATATACACATTATTATTGAGAAATAAAAGGGAGATTAAGTATTTGAAATTTTGGTTTAATTTGCAACCCAAATGCAGAAGAGATTTAAGAAGAAAATAAAAGTAGTTAAATGAGAAAACAGACAATCATAACATAACATGTAATTTTCTGCTGAGTCCATTACTATTATATTTTTTTGTGTACTTAGATAATTGAAGATAGCAAAGAATGTATTTCTGAATGCTAATAACTATAAACTGTACTAAGTTAAGAGCAAACTTACCACAGAACTTAAATTCTTTCTGTGAAAATTTTTTATGAGATAGTGAACTGTTTCTGAAGTCAACTGTAAAAAGGTATTATGTGGACAGCAAGAATATCTACACTATTCTATATCATATTAAGTGTATTTTATGTGATTCACTGGTGGCTCCCCTGGTAGCTCAGCAGTTGAGAATCCACCTGCAATGTGGGAGACCCAGCTTTGATCCCTGGATGCCCTGGAGGAGGGCATGGCAACCCACTCCACTATTCTTGCCCTGAGAATCCCATGGACTGAGGAACCTAGCAGCTTTAGTCTATAGGGTTGCAAAGAGTTGCACACGAGTGAAGTGACTGAGCATGCATGCTTGCAAGTCATTACTATCCTCACTGAGAAAGTAAAAATTATCCAGTGATTCTTCCCTTTTCACATTTTAAGAATTATGAAATGATACAGGAGAAAATATTGTTACTTAGAGTATGGCAATGTATCCTTCCAAATCTATCTAGATTATAATTATTAAATAAAGATTACAATTTCTAAATAATGGTATCTTTTAGAGATAGGTATCAAATAATAGAAAATATAAAAATTTAACTCAAAAGTCATTGCATTTCCCATAAAATATTAAATACTGTATCATACTAAATTAAAACTAAAATATTATTCATTTTATGAAATTCCACTACATACAAATATTACATTTCTCAAAATTTATGTAAATTCCATGATTCTATAGATATATGTTAAAAGCCTACCTAATCTCAAAGTTGTCATATTTTCTTTTCATTGAGATTAAGACAATCATGAAATAAATCTTTCATGAATGAATAAAAATGAATAAAAATTTGTTGTCACCTTTAAAATCCCTTAATTTGTGTCTTCTCACTCTTTTGTATAATGATAAAGAGGTTATAGACTTAAGTTACAAAGACCTTTTACTCAAGATAATGATAATAATGTCATAATCAGAGGCATAAAAAGTAGGATGATTATAATATTGTTTGCATCCACAAAATGTCTGCCTACAAGAATTAATATGTTAATTGACCTCTGTGATCTAGGGATTCCTTGCCTCACTAAAAGTGAAAGGCAATTAGAAAGCATTTTATTGCCTTATCCACGCTAATTTTTTTCCCTATGACTTCCAGTTTCTCTTTGATTTTGTAGGTTTGTGGTCAACTCTCATCAGCTTCTTCAGTGCATCCTTCATGTCCTTATTCCTTAAGGTGTAAATGAGAGGGTTGAGACTTGGAGTGATGATAGTGTAAAAGAGGGTGAGGAACTTACCCTGGTCCTTGGAGGCATTGTTACCTGGTTGCAGGTATAGGTAGATAATAGCTCCATAGAAGATGGACACTACGGTGAGATGAGATCCACAGGTATTAACTGCTTTTCTCTGGCCTGCTTTTGACTTCATTCTCAGCACAGCTCTGGCAATGTAGCCATACGATATAAGAATAAGGATGAGTGGTGTAAGGACAATGACAATGCCTAAAGCAAAAACAGACATTTCAACTGCTGTGGTGTCTATGCAAGCTATCTTGACCATAGCTGGCAACTCACACAAGAAATGATCCAGGAGGTTGTTTCCACATCTAGGCAAATTCAGGGTGAGTGTACATAATACCACAGAATTGGCCAGACTAATACTCCAGACTATGATAACCATCTTGAGGCATAAATGTGGGTTCATGATGACCAAATAATGCAAGGGCTTACAAATAGCTGTAAAACGATCGTAGGACATAACAGCGAGGAGAAGGCACTCAATAGAGCCAAACCACATGTAAACATAGAGCTGAATGACACAGCCCACATAGCTGATGGTCTTATCATGTCCCCACAAGTTAACCAGCATCTGGGGGATGATGCTGGTTGTGAAACATAGATCTAGGAGAGATAAATTCCGGAGGAAAAAGTACATTGGTGTGTGGAGATGGGAATCCAGGAGAGATGCAAGAATGATGGCAGTGTTACCGACCAAGGTAATTAAGTAGAAGACAGTGACAACTCCTGACAGGACCATCTCGAGTTTGGGATGGTCAGAGAATCCAAGCAGAATGAAGCCACGTAGAGAAGTATAATTTCTTTGGTCCATAATCCTTCAGTGTCAAATCCCAGAATGAGAAGAGCAAGAGAAAGAGGGGAGTGGAGAAGGAGAGAGAGGAAAGGGTTGAAGGAAGTGGTGTTGGTGAAGGAGAAGAGGAAGAAGAAGAAAAGAAGAAGGAAATTGGTCAACACAGACTAAGTAAATTAATGAAATACAGGAATAAACAAAGGGAGAGAATTAATATTAATTAATAATTGAAAAAATTAATGGTAAAAGTGTTGCCCAACTAACCTGGTATTTGTGGTAGTTTCTTTTATAAATAAATAAATTTAAAATTAATATGATATCAATAATAAATGGCATTTAACATTATATTTAATAAATATTTATATTAACTATATAATTTAAATATTATGATAAACAATGTTAACTAAACAATAAATTTAATATTATATTAAATTTAATATTATATTTTAATATAAATTAAAAATAAATATATCTATATTTTTATAATTAAATTTATTTATTTTTAATTGAAAGAGAATTGCTTTACAGTATTGTGTTGGTTTCTGCCAAACATCAACATGAATCAGCCATAGGTATACCTACGTCCCCTCCCTCTTGAACCTCCCCCCAAATAAATAAATTTAATATTATATTTAATAAATAAATTTAATATTATATTTTTATCTAGATGACCTTGGGGAGTTCATTCTTAAAATCAAGGTCTGAATTTTCTCACATGTTAATTTGGAGTTTGAACTAGAACTATTTCTAAGATGATGTGACTATGATGTCACATCTAAAATATCACTAGTGTGATATAGAAAACTTACTCCTAATTGAGTCAGTGAATTTATTTGTAATACATAGTTATTTGGCTTATGTTGGAATGAAGGAGTGGTCCTATTTCCGTATCTTGTTTACTAATTTGATTTATACCTTTTTTCCCCAGTGTATTATGTAGTAGATCTGGCATTTATCCTTAGTACCTTTATTTTTCTTATTTTGATACTTAATATGGCACCAAAACTGGTACATTGTTCATACAAAAGTATCTGTTAACCATTCTCTCACTTTAAAAAATGTCCTCTATCACTACTCAAAAAAGTACCATTCTGATGAATGATATTCACAATGAGAAATTTGTACATATGAGTAGGGAGGACATGTATGGGAAATATCTGTACCTTTCTCTCAGTTTTGCTATAAACTTGAAACTTCTCTTTAAAAAAGTTGAATAAAAAGATAAAAAACTTAGAGAAATACATTAATGAAAATTAACAGTTAAAGATAAAACTTTTGTATAGAACAACAAGTTGTGCTGTTCATTTCAAATATATTTCCTGAATATTTTGAAGAAATTGCTTCAAACTGTGGCCATGATTCACAAGTGGACACATGCAGGACACTAACTGGTAGGCTAGTTGAGATAGTTGTTTTGAGAGAGTCATTTGGTGATTTCCTCAGAATTAGCTTCCCAAGAATCATTTGAGTCTAGGTTTTGCCATTGACCAAGTTGGATAGTAAGAAAACAATTAACTGAAATGTATTGCAAGCCTTCACATACTATTTGAGTTCTATAATGTCTGCTTAGGGGGATGAATCAGCAATTAATGCTTATTTTCTTGACGGATGTTGTTTATGTAATTGTGCCCAAACTCTGAATAAGGCAGAACTTCAGTTAAAATATATGGATAAAAAATGAAAATTCTTTAAAAATTAGACAGTGAAGGACTTTCCTAGTGGTCCATTGGCTAAGACTCCAGGCTGCCAATGCAGGGGGGCCTGGATTTGATCCCTGGTTAGGGAACTAGATTACATGACACAACTAGAATATCCCAAATGCCACAGTGAAGATTCTGTATGCCACAACTAAGACCTGGCACAGCTGAATAAATAAATATTAAAAAAATTAAAGACAATGCCATGCAGTTAATTTCTTAACTATTTCCATTATTACTCTAGCCTCCAAAGATTAATTTAGGAGGGGAAAAAATCCTACCTATTAAAAATCTGACATAGTAGATCTTCAGATAATTTTTCATGAACATGATGAAATTTAGAAATGGATAAAAAATCTGAGTCCTTTCTAGCTCTACAGTCTTCATGTATAAAATAGTGTATTTCAAGTCTTCATTTTCAATTTAATCTACACTTCCCTCTCTTTCTTTTTATGCTGGAGCAAAATATCTGATATCACAAATCAGGATTACAACCTTCCAAAATTGTGAATCATTATGCTCTACACCTGGAACATATATTGTACATCAACCATACTTCAAAAAAAGCAATAACATCATGTCCTCAATTTATAATAGAGAATAAATTTAATCTTTTCTTCATAATAGAGATTAAAAAGAAGAATTTCTCTACAGAGATTTACAATATCTATTTGTTCTAAACATTCCGAAAGAAAGAAGGATCAGAACTTACAGATCTAAATTCTCTTTTACTTCCCACAAGTTGTTTTTCAGGCACACTATTTTCCAAGAGATATTAAAGATTAACATTACTGTGATCCAGAGAGAGTTCCCCAGATATTCTGCTTCTTGACCAGCATGGAGCCCATACTGTGGACAATAAATCCTGTGGACATTTGCTCTCCAGGGCTGCAGCTTACTCATGTTTTCCCTGCAGTGCCACTGTGAATTCTGTTTTCCCTGATATGTGTTAAGGTATAGATTCTCAACGGGACTCCTCCCCCTTGAATATGTGACATCAGGTGAGGGGATGAAACTTGTCAGAAATTCTTACTACTTGTGCTGACTTTAAGACAACATGCAAATAGGTCTTTGCCCTAGAGAAACTTTATAAAAAGCAGCTATTAGTTCATTATTGTGAACATATTGGACAAAGTTTCCCAATGTTGCCTGAAAACCTAGATCATCAAGATTGTCTAAGCCATCCACACTACTTCCAACTGACTTCATTTTTATCAGTTTTTATAGATCTCAAACAGGTATTTGACAGAACATTTGGTGAACACCTTCCCTTTTTCAACCACTTCTTTTAGGACTGTATACATATAGTGTATGTGTATATTCTCTATTAATAATGATAGAAATGTAAAATCAATCAATGGTACATTTTTGCCTATTAAAATTTTAAACATATGGAAACTTGAAATTGCTCACTTTGACTAAAGATCTCAAGTTCACTCATTTTTTTCTCCTCTCTTTTAGTAAGATTTCTGTCACTCTCCTTTTTGTTGTATATAAATTGTCATGTATATGTATCTACTTTGATTATATTACTGAATTGACTATTCCCTAGTCCCTTGCTCCATATTCTGTAAGTATATTCCATGGGTTTGGTACTCTGGCAAAATTACCGAGAAATCATTTACTTTCTTTAATTAAAATTTTTTAAAATATTTATTTTTATTTATTGGCTGCATTGGCTTGTGGCACACAGGCTGTCCACTTGCACTTTCAGAGCATGCAGGCTTAGTTACTATGAGGCATGTGGGATCTTAGTTCCCTGAATAGGAATTGAACTCATGTCCCCTGCACTGCAAGGTGGACTCTTAACCCCTAGACCACCAGGGAAGTCCCTAGGTTCGTTAATTTTTGAAAAGTTTCCTAGTGGCTTTTCAGGAATTGGTAAATCCAGAGTTTGGCTTAGACATACAATACAATGTCTTTTTGAACCCACTTGACTAAATTAAGATGTGTTTTTCTGTTTGCTTTTTGTTTAATTTTTCCCCCTTTCTTGCTTTAGCCCTTTACTTATGGGAGTCATTTAAAATGAAATTATAAAAACAACAACAACAACAAAAATAAAATGAAATTATTAGCAGTACTTCCTCATTTGGCTGCATTTCAGAATAACTGGGATATGTGGAAATTTTACAAATACAGAGTCTGAATCTTATGGCCTCACCAGGGGTTCTAGTATTCTCTGTTTTTACTGCCTCTCTGGATAATATTATATAGTTTCAAGGCTTAAATGTCATTTTCATATTGATGGCTTTCAAATTTGTATTTCTAATCTTCTCCATTGAGCATCAAACTTATGTTTCCAACTGCCTAATTTTACCCATTTTTGGGTGTTTAACAAAAATATGAATCTAAACATAGCTAAAATAGAACTCTTGATCCCCACTGCATCAAATCTGATATCACCGCAGTGTTCCTCATCATAGTAAATGGTGTAAACATCTACCTGTCACTGGCCAGAAACCTAAGCCATCCTTTAATTACTTCCCTGCCCTCCTCACCCTGAAATTTGAACTATTTCAAGTTTTAACTTCTTTTCTCCATTTCTACTTCTACTGCCAAACACTGAGGCACTGTCTCTCCTCAACCCTGGCCCTGTGCATTATCCAATGGCTTCCAAACATTCCCTGCTCTAGCTTTTTTCCCTTTCAATCCATTCTCCACATGGCAGCCAGAAGTGTTCTTAATTTTTTTTTTTCATTTACATGTTGGAAATCTTTCAAGACTCCTTATGACCTTGAAATAAAGTTCAGATTCCTTCCTTACCATGACCTATCCACTGCTTCAAGACCTAACCTCTGTTATTCTACCCACTTTCTCCCGTTCTCTCCATCCCTGTGTTTCTCCAGGAATGCAAGCATTTAAAAGCCTTTTGCACTATCCCACTTACCTGTAATATTCTGTTCCCAAATTGTGCTCCTTATTTTCACTTTTCCAGCTGTCATCTATTCAATGAGGGCTTTCTTGATTATCTAAACAAAGATCCTCCCCACCCCAGTCTTCTCTATCATGTTTTCATATTTTTCCTCAACAGTCTACACATTTTGCTTTTTTAATATATTAGGCTGTTTGGGTGGCTTAAAAGACAAACATTTATTTCTTATAATTCTAGAGGCTGGGAATGCCAAGATCAAAATGCTGGCAGATTTAGTATCTGGTGAAGATCTGCATCCTGGTTCATAGAGATCAGTCTTTTTTTAAAATATCTATTTACTTATTTATTTGGCTGCATCAGGTCTTATTTGTGGCATGTGGGATCAGGTCAGTTTTCATTCCAATCCCAAAGAAGAGCAGTGCCAAAGAATGTTCAAGATATTGTGTAATTGTGCTCATTCTACATGCTATTAACAGTATACTCAAAATCCTTCAATTCAGGCTT